AAAAATTTATTGTTATTATTTAATGGTACATATTATGGTTGTTAAATAAAATTAAAGCAAAGTTTTGAAATTTAACGTGAATCATGAACATATTCTTAATGGTGACTTTTATTTAAAATTTTTCTAATATGTCAAATAAATAATATAAAATATCAATGGAATAAAAAGTGGAAAAAAAATGAAAAAATTAATTTAGTAGCGTGAATGGGGCCCTAATTCGTTAATTAAGAACGCGTTACTTCACTGAAATTTGTGTTCTTCTCCGCCTCACTACATACAAATCTAACTCTATTTTTAAGTACGTCTTTCTGGTTTATAAGGTTGACTATTTCAATTCCAGGATGATTCAAACGTGAAACACATCGTTTCCACCATAACGTTTTTATCCCTCTGTCTCTGTGTTTCTGATAATAAAAGCACATACAGTGTTTTTATTTTGTTTAAATTTATTTTTGGTGTGTCCATGATATAAGAAATAGTTTTTTTTTTAAGTGCATCCCAATTTGTGGTTCACACGTGCATTCATACGCATGACACAGGAAGTCACATTTAGTCTTTCGTTTTGTTTCATTTGTCTGTAAATTCACTCATTCATTTATTTCAATTTTCGCTACGTGACTTTAAATTTGTTACATCACTTTATTTTATTAAAAAAATTTATTTTTTGCCTTTCTATTTTTCTGTCCTATATTTTCGTAGAGGATGATACGATCCCTTTCATAATGTGCGGTTGTAAAAAAATATTTAATGGATTATTTGATTTTCATAACTATTATATATTCGCATATTACGCTTTTCCTTTTACTTTATTTTACTTAGAAATTTATCGCATGTAAGGACTCAAAATGATATTTTGTTAGTTTTGCAGTTTTTATTCCCGGTTATTGTTTGTATGATTTGTTTGTGATTTTGGGTGAAAATCTGTGAATTATAGAGTGTTAGTGTAGATTAGAGATTATTAACATACTGTGTAAACATTTTGAGATTTGTTGGAATTATGCAGTTTGGGAACAGCCCGTTCTCAACTAGGATTTTTAAGCCAATTTTCTAGTTTGGAATGGCCCGTTCCAGTTTCGGAACGGCCCGTTCCAATTTCGGAACGGCCTGTTCTAATTTCGGAACGGCCCGTTCTACGATACTAAATTGCTCTTGTTTTGGTAATTTGGAACGGGCCGTTCCAATTTTGGAACGGCCCGTTCTGGGTTCGCCTGTAAGCGAAGATAGGTCACCATAATCGATTATGCAAGCCACATAATCGATTATGCTTCAACATAATCGATTATGCAAGCCTATAATCGATTATGTGGCTTGCATAATCGATTATGTTTGGTTCCTCTACATGCATGGGACGGGGTATTTTCTGGTTTTCACAAATCCTATGTGTCTTTCATCTCTTTTCTTTGCTTTTGTGCGAGGACAGGAACAGTGCTTCTCCCCGCTTTTCTTCGCCTTTCCTTCGTTGTAAATTACCGGAAACTAACACTCACTTTTTTCTCCTTTTGTTGCTCGTAAACAGTACATCACCAGAAACAAACACTACCTTAGAAAGTTGCATGGAAGAAACTGATGATCTGACAAGACATCCCATCATTCTTCCACCATGTCACCCTCACTTTTCCAGAAATACTCCATGCAAATACCTCTTTTAAGTATGTTCTTTAACTCTAGTGCTAAAACTCTAAAGAATTCATACTCATTTGAGCATTAAAGTGTATGTAGGTGACCATCACCTTCAACTGTCTATTTGTCACCATTCGTGCAACTAGTCAAGATTGTCCTAATTGCTCTCAACGTGCTAAAAACACAAACATGCTTAATTCACTTTGAACATTGACACCATTTGTAAGAAAATATTAATCTCTCCATATTTCTTTAGATTTTCATGATGGTGAACACTCGCAAAGGTATAGCTTGTGCCAATATGAGGACAAACTCTACTATATTATATTATAAGACATCGACACCTAGCCACATTAATTGATCTAGAAGTTTGCTAACCACAACAACTTTGTTCAAACCGATCCTAGTTAGTGAAAGCATCAAATGTCCTCACATTAAAAGGTTTCCCTATACTTTCAATAGGCCACCCACCTCCCCATGCATTTAATGACTACGACATGGTCCTCGGAAATCTGCCACTCGTTTTGAGAAAAAAGTTGTGTAAAATTATACCCAAGAGGGATTAACCCTAAAATTGAGTGGTATAACAATACAAGAGACCCTCATCATTGTGTTCACCCAATAAGGGAGATAATGAAAAAGTCTTTTGTTGGGTATTCTCCCTTACCTTCAGCAAAACAACTTTGCAGTGGTTTCAATATTTGTCATTGTGGTCCATCATTGCTTGGCCTAAATAGCATAGCAAATAACTCATGAACATCACAATCAGCAAGGTCCAACAAAAAATTGATGCCAAAGTTACTCGAATTTAACATGGTAATGATCATCCATATATAAGTTCACTTGAGAAGATTGACAAGTATAGGACCTACTTCATGGGGTTTGAGTTGCACCTTATTAAATACGGGCTTAGCACTCCATTATGGTATGGTGCTTAGCACTCCATTATGCACTACATTTGCCAAGAGAAAGGTATGAACATTCAAGGAATTCCTAAAATAAGGACAAAAATATGCTCCTTTTGATTCTCTTATAATAAACAAATAATAATATAGTTTACTCCTATTTGTTTCTTACAAAAGGATAAAAATAGTATTAACTTTGAGGATGAGTT